AAAGGTTGGTGGTTGGTTGTCAGTCACTGTTACCGTGAAGGAACAAGTGGCTGAACGGCCAGTCGCATCGGTAACGGTAAAGGTGTTGATCGTTTGTCCAACCGGGAATACAGCACCGCTGGCCAACCCGGCTACCTGCTCAACGGTAGTACCTGTACAATTATCGGATGAAGTCACTTCGTAATTCACGACAGCGCCGCAAGTTCCTGCGTCATTAGGTACACTGAGATTGCCGGGGCAGGTGATGATGGGATCTTCCGTATCATTAACCGTTACAGAGAATGTGCACATGGCTGCATTCCCGGCTCCATCGGTAACGATGAAAGAGTTAAGCGTAACACCAACAGGGAATTCTGAACCACTTGGTAGACCCATCGTTTGTACCAGGTCATACGCGCCACATCCACCGGTTACATTGACTGCATACGTAACAACAGCTCCACATTTTCCTTTGTCATTGTCAACAACGATATTTTCATTGCAGGTGATGACGGGGGGTGCGGGTTGTTCGAACTGGTAACGGGTGAATATCGGGAAATGGTCAGACGTGGTGGAGCCATAGTTAGACACGAGGCTCGTAACATCATTCAACACGTTTGCTGTGGCTGGCATGTAGTAAGGTGCCATTTCATTGGATACGATCACATGATCGATCATATCATTGAAGCCTGTGGTCGAACGTTTACCAGCCAGGCTTAACGGAAGGGTCAATGCCGTATAATTGGTCGCATCGTTGGTAAAGCTATTCCATGATGTGGTTGTGAACCCGGCAGTGATCGACTGATCGAGGTCGTCGTTAAAATCACCGAGGATCACGATATTATCATTCGGGAAAAGTTGGTTTAATGTGTAATACAATGTGTCCGCACCACTTTTTCTCCTTGCATACGCGGTGGCAGTGGGAGAGGTGTTCGCTTTTGCGTGTACTAATACGAATTTCACATTCTTGGTAACACAATTTAATGTAACATCAGCTGACATCAGGAAGGGGAATCGTCCGCTTGACCAGTAATTGTAAGCGGGATTGCTAAGATCAGCAACTGAGTTTGTGCCTTGTGAAAGTAAAGCAGTCGTACTGATATTGCTGAATACAGATGTTTTGTAGATGAATGCTTCTTTCTGTGCTTCGGAAATTGGCGAAGCTCCAGACTCGTTGGTATTAGTATGTGACCCGTAATCGCAGATCACATATTGGTATCCTGGCATCTGGCTTACGATGTTGGCAAGCCGCGCTTCATCTACTACTTCAACTACAGCGTACAGGTCAGCGCCGATGCTTAGTAAAATTGTTTTCGCGTTTTGTTCCTGTAAATTATCATTGGTAGGTCCAAGTGATGGGTCGGTACTGCCAAACCATTCCATATTCCAGTTCACCACTTCCAATGTGGTCGCGGGATCGATACTTGTACCTTTCAGGTTGATAGTTGAAGAAAGAGTCGAAGTAGATACAGTCACAGTCCCGGTAAAATTCTGGTTGAACTGCGAAGGTGCAAAACGGACATAGACTGTTTGCGTCACATTGTTTGTTTCAGCGACTG